TCACAGCAACAGCCGAGAAAAACAAAGTGTTTTCTAATTGAATCAGCATTAAACTCGAACGTGATGCATCACAGGTAATTTACTAAAGAGATCATGGGTTCAGAAAGGGATCTTCCCCTTTCTGTGCCATTGCTATCACATGCCACGGAGTCCATTCCAACTCCTGGTGGCCCTGGATGACGTGGGGAACTGCTCTCGAGGATGTCCTGGGCTGTATGAGTGTTTAATCTCAGCAGGAACCAACTGCCAGATCTTTTCATCTACAGAGAAGCTAGTGAGCTCCGACTGCTGGCCTTTCCGTTAGCAACGCAGCCATTGTGTGGCCAGAAGGTCTCCTCCTTTATGCAGCCACGTGGCCAGAGCCCATTCCACCCATGTTTCAAGAGGATTTTATTGGCTTTCTAGTATCTTCATAGCGTGCTAAGTGAGGCGACACGAATCTCTCAGGAAACTGGGAGGCAGGAGACAATTTCCCAGAGTTATATTTTAAAGAAGAGGCTGCCAGGCCCTTGAGTTAGCTCTCTAGATTTTCATAATGTTCAAAGACAGAGAGATACTTTACAGTCACCAGTTACCTGAGGAGAATCCCAAGAGAACCCTGGGACAGGGGAGCTTCTCTCCGTATTTCCGACAGAGTGAACGAAAACCGCTCGTTTCCCATCGGCATTTGTCCCTACACGTAGCAAACTGATTTCACCTTTTATCTTTGTTAGAGTAGTTGATTCCTGAGAATCAGTGGGAAAACACAGCTAGACTCCACCAGGGCAATTGAAAGGCAGCCCCCTAACACTGAGAAGCAGTGTACAGAAATACGGAGTGATTCAGTGACATTGTCAACACATAGCCAACTTCCAATGTCAGCACTTGACATCATCCAATAATAATGAGCACTTGGCTCCCCAAACCAAGCTGGGACCCTGGGTAAAAGGGTTACTAGAAGCCTATTAGGCAGCCCTCTGCATGGTCTTTTCTGCAGATCCTCAAAGCATCGGAAGGGGTTATAGGTACTACAGTTAATTTAACTCAAATGAAAGAAGTTGATGTAACACCTCAAGAGATCGACCAGCTTTTTTTTAGCTATAATCTTTCAACATACAATTTTTATTTTTTAAGTACAGAAATATGCATTTTTTTTCATGTACAACTTTTTTTTAAATCATTTTGTTGAGGGCTTGTACAGCTCTTATCACCATCCATCCATCCATCCATTGTGTCAAGCACATTTGTACCTTTGTTGTCCTCATCATTCTCAAAACATTTGCTTTCTACTTGAGCCCTTGGTATCAGCTCCTCATTTTATCCCTTCTCCTCCACGCCCCCCTCCCTCATGAACCCTTGATAATTTGTAAATTTTTATCATTTTGTC